AAAAAAAAAAAAAAAGAAAAAAAGCAAACCAAAATCCCTTTTTATCTTACTGCAAGATTCTGGGAAGAGGTGAAAGTGCATCATGTCTTTGAAAATGCTTGAAGTGAAAACACATTATTTTGTGCTCTTCCTTTTTCAGTTTCCTGTTATTCCTGCAAGCCTTCATCCTGCAAAAATTCATGGTGTTTTAAAAACAATGTTAAAATAAATATTTAATTTATGTAGTTCTTCTTCCAAATGCCTGTCTGATTTTAATGAAAATAACATTAATAGAAGTAGCTAGCTGTTGGTATCTGATATCTCTTTAGTTCATGACTGCTTGTAAGGTGTCTAGGAAAGAAACTGACTTTTTTCTTTATAGTTCATCTGAGTTATGAGTTTAGTTGTTTTCTTGTTTTGTCTTGTCATAACTTCCCGTCTGGTGCTTTCTCTTTGTGCTTGTGTGAGCTGCTTGGGAGTTGGGAGAAGACAGACAAAGAGACATTTCCATGATGCTCTGTGYGAATGGAGGGATACAGCAGAGAGATGTTCACCTAAGGACAAGAGACCTATCTSACTTTCCCTTTTTAGATAAAAATTGGGTGGGTAAAAATATCAAAGCTAAGAGAGAAAAAGCAAAGGAGAAGGGCCTGACAAACACCCAGCCTGGCAGTGAACCTGCAGAATTCCCTTCATCTTCCATTCATCTCTCTAAAATCAGTCCTTGCTTGATGTGCAAAGGCAACCTGTTTCAAATAGCTTCATAATGGGTATGGAAATGGTATTTTTTTCTATAATGAATGATGCCAGTATGGAATGACTTCTTTTGGTTGGACATACTGAGCAGTGTAACCAATACTGCAAGCTTATCTCCTGCAGTTCTTTTTTTGTCCAGGGGTCATGATACATAATTTAGATCTGACCTGTTGCATTCCCTGGATCTTTAGTAAATTTGTATTTAAGTGACACTATTAATTCCATAGAGCTATAATATTTATCTTACAAAACTACTGACTTCCCACAGACTGCAACTTAGTCTGGAGCAATAAAGGAAGGTAAGGCTGGTCTTACTGTGGCTGTCAAGCACAAAAAAGTGCCTGCTACAAAAAAAAATTAAATAGGCTATCTGGAAAAAGTCTATGTGTTAGAGAGACAGAGGAAGAAAGACTTTATTTTAGTTGATGTCTGCAGCCATCACTAATATTGGAGAGGGTTGTGGAAGGAGGAGTTGGTTGGGCATGCACACTGAAAGACTTTATCTAAGCTGAAATTTGTCAAAGTTTCAGGTTGAGAATTAATTGTAGCAGTACATCTGCGTTAACCTGGGAAAAAGGAAGCTCATGGGAAACGTTATTGCTCTSTRYAACCACCTGAAAGGTTATAGTGAAGTACGTGTCTTCACTATCTTCTCCCAGGTAACAAGTGACAGGRCAAGAGGAAATGGTGTCACGTTGTGCCAGGGGAGTCTTAGATTGGATGTTATGGAAAAATTKCTTCACAGAAAGGGTGGTCAAGCACTAGGGCAGGCTGCCCAGGGCAGTGGTGGAATCACCATCCCTAGAAAGATTTAAAAACTGTGTAGATATGGCTCACATGATTTATTGGTGAAAATAGTGATRCTGGGTTGATGGGTGGACTTGAT